TATCACAACTGCAGTAAGACAAGCAGCAAGACAGCTCACTAGCCACCCCCCCAAAGAAAAACCCTATATTACAAAAAAAAAACCCTCTTAACAATGACACCTACAAAATAGTTAAAAGTAGAAGATTTCAGAGGATGCACAAAAAACATTTAGCAGACTTAACAATTTGATTAAACAGAGTCCTGAGAGAGTTTAACAATGTTCACAGCATACGCATAACACATTTACAACAAGAAAGAAGAAAGGCACCTGGAGACATCTGACACTGGGCATGCTCTGCAGGCATCTCAGTGCGCACATGCTCTCTACCAGGTTGGAGCAGCCTAGCCACAAAGACCTTGGCACAGAACACTGCAGGGTGACAAAAAGGAAGGAAGAGAAGAAGCAGTTAGATGCCACAACGAATCACTTAACGCAGGCAACTCATTAGTACTTTAAAGTGGATAGTTATTTATGTTAATGTCTATGTTAATCAATGGTTAGTGGCCAACAGTAAAATAACTCTTGAAGGTCTTTTTATACTACATCATCCCCCATTCTACAAAGGATAAGACCCTGGCTTCTCCATTCCCAACTGTTCACTCTCGGTGCCTTTTTGAGCAGTCCAGATGATAACTTCATACTTTGTCTTCATTTTATGTCTAATGTTTTCTGCTCTCAAACTAGTCCAAAATTTTGCATTCAGGTACATTATGGTCAAAACGTTTTGGAAAGTGGCATTTTTTTTACTTTGGTATCTACTGTGCAGGTATATTCAGTTATATATTTGCCTAACGGATTCTACTACATTTTACTTTTGCTATCATACGATGAGCTTGTATGCACTAGAAATTGGGGCCATTAAAATATAATCTTGACGAGTTGTGTTAAACAATATGATAATAAACAAGGCTTCACCTTCAACACAAACCCAAGTTACATCAAACATCTACAGCATCCTACTGTAGGCTTAACTGAAAAGGCTCCTTTATCATCAGGTAGTTAATTGGTGATGTTCTAAGACAATACTCATTTTCCAATAAAAAAGGAGCACAACAAGAAGATAAGTATTTTACTCTTCTTCAGAAATGCACAGTATTTCAATTTCAGGACCCAAACTCACTTAAATTACAGATGTGCTATCTTCACTGACTTAACTGACAAAATTTCGTTGCTTCACAGATGCAACTGCAACATTTGGCCTGCAAAATCTTTATCATGAGTAACAGGAAAAGCCACTGAGATTCCAGGCTGTTGGAGCGGAGGTTAGAAGTGTTTTGTTTTGTTTTTGTTCTTAACTTAAAAAAGAAGTTAGATGCAGAAGCTGGAAAGAAGCTTTAGAATCCTATTAACATCAGATTTTACAGGATCTTTTTTCAGGCTATAGTAGTAGAGTTAAGATAACGAAAAGTAATTTCAGTTATTCACAACCAAACAGCAGGTATACCCAACTCTGAAAATCTGGCAGTCCTAGCTTCTCTCAGTAACAAAAGCTACAGACACTTGTGAAACACACCAAATCAATCTAACTAGAAAAAAAGTTTAACGAAGTCAAAAACAGTACAACTCCAAATGGAAACCCAAGAAATGCAGCTTAGTGCCAGTACTAAGAGAAGGGGTCCCAAGCAAGTGAAGAGGTTAAGATCTTATTTTCTAATAAGCTTTCCTCTATGTTTTTCTGTTCAAGATTATTCCTATGCTAAAATTGAGAAAGTATGAAGAGAAAAGAAGGCCAAAAATTGTGCAAATATCATGAATTACTCAAATTCTCTCTTTTAATGTACAGTAAAATCCCTGTTCTCTGGCACAAGTGGGGAATCAGGGGTGCCAGTAAGCTAGAAGTGCCGGTTACCTGAAGCACAGGGTTTCTGGCTGCATGGCT